CAAAAGCTCCGTAATATGATTATCAGTCCCACCTATTTGTTTTACATCTCTAAGAGGATAAGGTTAACCATATCAAAACAGAACAGAACATTTAAAAAAAAATAAAAAACAATTTAAAGAAACACAGATTTCAAAGCAAGTCCACCGGAGATCTACCTTATCCAACTGTCTCTAGCCTCTTACAAATAGTTGTCCCTAACTTCACCCACTTTCTATACTTATTGCATATTATAGAACTAATCAAATCATTACAGGATGATGGAGTCTCTTTAGGTCCTCAAGTTCCAAATTAGGGAAGACATTTCCAACTACCATCGCATCTCTCATTCTCTTTGTGATAGCCGTCCCCATCTCTGCATATGCTGAAGTTGAGCTGAAGAAACCAGTCCAGAGTCATTTTAATCAGCAAGCAATAGATTGCTAGAATTTATATTATAATGCTACAAAATAAGCCTCGGGTTTTTCAGGTCTCTTCCTCAGAGTATTTGTTCCTATCCTCTCTGTATTATAGGGAAAACCAAGTCATAACAAGACAGTGAAACAATTTCCTAGATAAACATGCAATGGATAAGACTTACAAAACTATAATATAAATGATCTTCCGTAGCTACTATGTTTTCTCTTGTTATTTTCAATAGATTTGTCGACAACACTGGCTTATTATAGTTAAATATACTATCACCTATTTTTATAAAAACTTATCTTTGACTGCATTGTAGTATTTGAGAGCTGTTACTGATTCATACCAGTATGGATATCCTTTACATCCTGTCATGCTCAGAGTAGTTTCCTCTACTTTTAGGGTTGATTCTAACACGCATACGGATTTCAAATAGGATCAGTTAAGGCCAACCAATAGTCTTATGATTCAGATACAATTAAGATCAGTCATAGTAAGACAATGTAAGTAATACAGGATTTCAGCTTAAGTCAATAGGAAAGTAAGGATGGTTACCATGGTATAACCTGCTATTTTTGGTTCTAGAGGTCTGTGTCCTCAAATCTGATATGAGTGGACAGACCAGAACAAATTTAATTCAATCTAAATATGGCACTAGGACTACTGTGTCTTTTAAATCGTTATACACCATTAGCAATGACCTCTGCTTTTTTTTTTTTTTAAATATAGTTTCAGAGCTGTCTCTACCAAAGACTAGCTTACCGTCTCTGCCTCATGTCTGCTACTCCACTTTTCTGCTATAATTTGTCCACCTTATTCCCTCATTCCATGTTCTGCCCCGTACACTGAGGCCTCTCTGCCACTGTAGCTGTAATCCTGATATCTCTTCCTCTCTTTCTCTGTAATGTCCTTCAGCGCTCTCTGTAGGGTTGGATTGGTGGCCACGAACTCCCACAGTTCCTCCTTGTCTTGAAAGTATCTTATTTCTTCATTAATTTTTAGAGAGAGTTTTGATGGATATATGAACTTAGGTTGCATATTTTTTTCCTTCAGGACTTGGAATATTTCTCCCCACTCCCTTCTTGACTTAAGAGTTTGTGTTGATAAGTCTGCCGTTATTTTGATAGATTTCCCGTTATAGGTAACCTGCATCTTTTCTCTGGCTGCTTTTAATATTCTGTTTTTTTGGTGGATTTCTGGGATCTCGATTATTATATGCCTAGGCGTAGATCTGTTTTGGTTGTAGGTAGCTGGCGTTCTGTATGCTTCTTTTATCTGGATATCATTTCTTTTTGCTATACATGGGAAATTTTGCTTTAATATCTCTGTGAATATTTTTTGTATTTCATTTTTGGATGTTCCTGCTTCCTCACTCACATTCTTTATTCTTAGGTTATGCATCTTTTTATCATCTTCCAGTTTTAGAATTGCTTCTTTCTGGTTCCTTGTTATTTTTAAGAGGCTTTTTCTTTCACGTTCATAAGCCCTAAATCTCTCTTCAAGTTTCAGAAGGTTGTCTTTAGTTTCTGTCAAGGCATTTTGCCAATATTCAATGGAGTTTTTAGTTTCCTGATTTTCTCTTTGGATCTGTTTCATGTATTCTAAGTTATGCTTAAATTCTTCAGATGCTTCTCTTTCTTTTCTGATTTCCTCAGTTCTTCCATCTGTGTTCTCTTGGGCAGGGCTTGTCATTTCTTTAATTAATCTCTTTATATCTTGCCTCACTTGGATCAGGAGTACATCTTTAAATTCCTCTATGAGATCATGTAAATACTTTTTAATTTCGGCTGATGCTGAGTCGAGCAATGGATGGTTACTGTGCTTGTTCTCTTCAGTGTTTAGTTCTCTTGGGTTTAATTTCTCCTGTTGAGCAGCTGGAGATTTTTTTTTTTATTTTTATCTCTTGTCATGTTTCTGGTTTCTTTTAGACTGTCCTGGAGTTCTCTGGCCCTCTCCGAATTGCTTAGGGCCTTTCAGAAGCGTGCTGGCTTGAGTTTTTGCTGTCCTCCCCAATTTGCTGTTATCTGGGGTAGGCTGGGATGCAGGGGCGGTACAGTCTAGTCTCTAGCCTCTGTGTCAGTCAGTTCATAAATTAGGCTGTACTTTCTGGTTGTCACTGAGTTGTGACCTTTCTGCATCCGCCCATTGGGCCCCAAGCAGAGGCCTGATCTAGCCCCAACAGCTCCTGCCAGTTCTCCCTGAATCAGAAGCAGCTGGGTAATGGCACAGGATTCTGCCCAGGTCCCAGCCGTTCTCTTCCAAACCTCTCTGTGATAGGAGCTCTAGAAAAGCAGATCTGCCCAAAACCAAGATGGCTCCCACTAAGTTCTCCGTGCGGAGCTGAAGCCAGCAAGCAATCAGACTCTGCCAGGACTCAAGATGTCTTCCACCAGCCCTCCCTACAGGGGGTCCTGGTGATGTCACCAAGCTGCGGTTTCAGCCGCCAGGCTAATATGTCTGCACCAGACTCTGTGTTATTGATTTCCCCGTGGTGGTGGGCCAGCTGTTCTCTGGCCAAACCCAGCCGCCGCGGGGTTTTCTATACTCACCAGAGTCCGGTGCAAGTCCCCGCTCCGGGACCGCCACACACCAAGCCGTCCACTTTTCTCCACCTCGCGGCTCAGCGCTGACTGGTCAGATTTCTGTGCACCGTTTAGATTCGAAACGCCAGAGCTCTGTACATCTGCTCTGGTGCAGCGGTGCAGAACTGGCTGCCGCCTGGAGTCTCGATCTGGGTCTCAGTTTCCGCAGTCCCCAAAAGTAACTCAGCTTTTCGTGTTGGGTCCACGAGTCTGTTCGTTGATTTAAGGGCGCGGGATTTGCAGCCTCCGGTCTCAGCACGACTTTAAATCCTCCAGCTGTACTGTCTTGGTTGACAAGAATCGCTATGGATTTGTCTGGTCCTCTCCATGCTGTCTTTTTTCTTTTTTTTTTTTAGCTTTGAGTTTGAATTCTCTGGAGAGATTCTTCGCTCGATCCCCTAGCACGCCGCCATTTTCTCCAACACCTCATGTTTGGTTTTCAATCTTTCTTTCCTTCTTCCTTGCAACTCTGGCCGCCTCCGCCGCCGGGCCGACACCAATATTCTTATGTTATTTTTCTTTGCATTGTCTTGCAGCTGTCAAATTTTTATTTCCTGATCTTTTGTTATTTTCAATCTATTTTTTCTTTCATTATGGCTAGCTACAATACTGTCTTCAAGGTCTGATAGTCTGTCTTCAGTTTTGTTGAAGTGGTTTTGCCATCTTTCAATGGAATTTCTAATTTCCTGGATCTCTGTTTGAATTCATTTCATGCATTCGGTCTCTTTCCTATACTGATTGTGCACAGTTTCCATCCTTTTCCTGTCATCATCTATTTTTTTTTTAAATTGGTACCAGGGATCGAACTCATGACTGCCTGCTTGCAAGGCAGGCACTTATGCCACTGAGCTAAATCCCCAGCCCCATCATCTATTTTTTTATGTATCTCTACTTTAGAATTATTGAACAATCCCTTTATGAATGTTGACATTTCTATTTTTTATCTGAGAGATTATTTATAGTCTGATTTCCTCTATAACTTCATGGATTTGTTTCTTTACTTTGGTTGCTATTAAAATTTCAGGTGTGTGTGTCTTTCATTTTCCTCTCTTGTTGTCTCCTGGACTTGTTCTGGGTGAGCTGGAAGTCTGAGACTGCATCTTATTTCTGCATCTTGTCATGTTCTATTCCAAAAATTTTTATTTTGTTTTCAGTGTCTATCCATGCAAGTTTTTGTAGTATGTAGCTATATCACTAGAATTGAGACTTCTCTAGGAAAAGTCTGATCCTCAGGGATGTTTTCTGTAGGTTCTTGGCTTGTGTTTTTTCCAAGACTCTACCTTCCCAGTTGAGAGTGAGATTCCGGTATCCATTTGGCTCACCCCCTGCTCTTTGGTGCTGGGCTGTGGCGAGGTAATTACCCCAGAGCTTCCCAGTATTGTTACAGAAGGGAGAACAGCTGATTACAACAGGTATGACATCCTATCTACAGTAGTATGATTAGAATAACAATAGCATCTAGCACAATTTAGAAACTGACAAATTGAGATAGCTATTAATTTTGTACTTTAAACCATAGAAGCAAAATTTACAAGTATATAACAGAACTAATTGCATGCAGTTGAAGTATTTCCCTTTGGTACAGTGATTTTACCCTGTGGTGGGGAGATTTAATAAGAATAGAGGATAAAACAAAAATAACTGGAAAGAAGGTAGAGGGAAGGCTGGAGGCCAAAGGATGATCACACACACTTTGGAAGCTAGAGGAGAGAGCAGAGGAGACTAAGGGAGTAGACAAGGGGTTATCGGAACTTGGTCTCTGGGTTTGGAGAATGGGATTACTTTTCTGTGGCTGGAGTTCTTAGCAGCAGCTTAGAAAAGAGAAAGAAAGAAAAAAAGAAAGAAAAAGAAAGAAAGAAAGAAAGAAAGAAAGAAAGAAAGAAAGAAAGAAGGAAAAGAAAGAAGAAAGAAAGAAAGAAAGAAAAAGAAAAAAAGACAGACAGACAGACCGGGTGGCCCCACCCGCCTGCTTCAGTATGTGTTTGTACCCAAGCACAATGCTGGTTCATCTAACTTACCACCTGTTGGCTTGTACTGCTATTGTTGCTTGGAAGTTTTCACTCCACTAGTCTGGCCTGTCAATCCCGTGCACTTTAGTGGGACCCTACTGTGTTGCTGGCATTCCCTTTGGTCTCTGGGCTCTCCAGAGCAGTTCATCTCAATCCTGGATTCTCTCAGTGGAGATAGCTTTGGGTGGGGCCTCTCTCTGTGATATTTACCTGGGTTCCCTAGGCAACGGAGGCAGCGATGGGTGGGGCCTCTCTCCTTTGTGACAGTTACATGGGTTGCCTAGGCAACAGATGGGTGGGGCCTCTCTCCTTTGTGACATTTACCTGGTTCTCTGGACAGTGGAGATAGAGGAATGTTATTTTTGACAAGGTTGCAAAAGCAGGACCTTAGAAATAGAGTAGTTTTTTTCAACAACAGTGGCTATCATTATGAAGAAAAGGAAGAAGGAAGAGAGGAGGGAAAGAAATGAAGGAAGGAGGAAGGGAAAAAAGGAAGCAAAAAGACAATTATTTCAAGCCATGCATCTCACTGTATAGCAAATTTAAGTGCAGAATGGGTCATAGTTCAACAAGTGTATTATTACGACAATTTAAACAGGAGAAAATGGTCTGTTTAACAAAGTATCTGAGATAGCTGGATATTCACATGCAAAAAATGGAATTGAAGTCCTTCCTCATACCAGACACAAAAGTTAACTCAAAATCTACCAGAGACCTAAAGGTAAACTATAAAAGTCTTAGCAGAAAACATAGAAATAAATCTTTGTGATGCTGGATTAAGCAAGGGTATCCTAGATGGTATACAAAGTCACAGGTGACTAAACACAACGATTTGAACTTTATCAAAATTAAAAAAATTTATACTACAAACTAGACTGTCAAGAAAACAAAACCCCACAGGATGGGAGAAAATCACATCCTTGATAAGGAATATGCATCCAGAATATATAAAGAACTGTACAACTCCATAGTAAAAAGATAACAGCCCTGTGTTAAAATGGCAAAGGATTTTCATTGATGTTTCTCCCAAGAAGGTGAGCTAATGACCAATACACACGTGGAAGGATGCTCAACATCATTAGTCATTAGGGAAATATGAATCAAAGCCACAGAATAATACCATGTCACACCCACTAAGATGACTACCATAAAAAAGATAAATAACAAGGCTGGTGACAATGTGAAGGAACTGTAGCCTTTACTCATACTGATGGGAGTGCAGGATAGCGCAAGTGCTTTGGAAAAGAGTCTGGCAGCTTCTCAAAGTCAATACTGTGGAGTTTCCACGTGGACAGGCAATCTCAGTCCTGGGCATGCTCCCAAGGGAAATGATAAATTCTATCCACAATGTTCATAGCAGCATTCTTCATTATACCCCAAAGTGGGAAAACCCAATGTCCATCGATTGGTAAATGAATATATAAAATGTGGGATATCTATGTGATGAGATATTACTCAACTGTTAAAAGGAATACAGTATATGCTATAAAATGGATTATGTCAAAGGAAAGAAGCCAGGCACCAAAGGCTACATACAATTACATATAGACACACAGAAATTATAATACTATTTTATGGTGGTCATTGAGTTAAATATAAGAAAGTGCAGGAAATCTGTCCACAGCATTAAAGACCCAAAATATTCTGCCAAGGCCCTGGATCCCATAGCAGTGTCTTGCATGAGTCCAGCTGAAGACCTAGAACCCATGACAGTGTCTCCCATGAGTCCTGCTAGAGGTCTAGTGCCCACAACAAGAACTCACGCAAGTCTGTTTTACGGATCTGGGCTAGGAAGGCCCAAAGGTCAGCAGTGGAAGCTAGAAAGTCTATACCATTGGGGTGGAGCTGTGCCAGTAGGTTGAGGGTTCTATACTGGAACCAAAAAACAATGCTCAAAATAGGGACCAGGGCTGCCCTGAAAAGTACCACAGCCATCCTTAGTGACAATGTCTGGAGCTTCTATGATGATGTGAACAGTTGAGTACATGCCAGGAAGCCAGTGTGACAAGCTTCTCCTAGATTAAATAGCCAGGAAGTTATGCTCAACGTAAGGATCAGAGCTCCCGCAAAGTGAACCACAGTCACTCTCAGCCATAGGAACTCATCTGAGTTCCTCTGATGAGAATGGCCGAATTCATATCAAAGAAGCCAGCATGATGAGCTCCTCCAGGAGAACCAACAGTTCAAAACAGCAACACTTAGGAAAACCCAAGAGCACCCTACTCTTCTTCTCCATGTCTTTATTTATGCTGGCAACTTTCCTCAGGCGGGCCATCTACACTCCACAGCATATTGATGTAATTAAGCTGGTGTTAAGTTGACCACCCGTTTTTAATCCATAACAGTACATGATTTGATTTACATGAAATTTTTGGAGTAGGCAAATGTCTAAGAGGCAGAAAGATCACTGGATAAGGGGACAGAGAGTAGGTGGAGGGGATCAGGAAATGATTGTTAATATGTAGGGAGTCTCTGTCTCTCTGTCTCTGTCTCTCTCTCCTCTCCTTACCCATACTAGGAATTGAATCCAGTGTCTCACCTATGCTAGACAACTACTCTATCACCAAGCCACTGGGACTCGTCCCTAGCCCTTTGAAAAATTTTGAAGCAGGGTCTCATTCAGTTTGGTCAGTCTGGCCTGGAATGGAGCCACATACCACTACATAGTAAGAAGACTAATTTCTGAGGTGTCTCAACCTGCTCGTCATTAAAGTCGTGATTTGTGTGTTCTTTTGAGACGGTCAAATCCTTGAAAGCTGCTTTTGCTAAAACTAAAGCAACCAACCAAACAAATGCAAATCCACACAAAACTGTGACTCTTCCCTTGGCCTTGCAGATGCACCATAGATAGCTAAAAGCAGAACAAAACTTAACTTTCGTTTCATGTCTTTCTCCTTTATTACCTTAAAATCTGAAGTCCAATCAGCTGTGTACATAGGCATGTTAATCAGTTAGGAAAAAGCTGTCTAAAAGTTGGCCATACAAAGTGGATTAGCTCTAAATTTACATACTCTATCTCACTCCCCCCCTTCAAAACTGAGGACACCAAGATAAGAGATTTATAGGGACATTCAACTACCAGTGGGTGCCCAGCAGTCTCGTCATTGACCCTAAACTATGTCACTTTGGGTTCCAGTGGAGTCTCTGGAAAACAGAGACTGCTTTAGGCAGAAACGATCATCTCATGGAGACTTGGCCCCTTCAGCAATAAGGATTGCTCCAGAGCCATCTTACCAAACCAAAGCCAGGATGATCATCAGCCTGCCCCTGGCCCACCTCAGGCCTTTATAAAAACTGGCCTGCCTCATCCAGACTGGCCCATCTGATCCTCTTGTTGGAGCTGTGTCCCCTCTGAGTCTCAAGCTGAATTCACTTTTTATAATTCTTGAATTACAAGTCTGCCTTGTCTTTAGCAACAGGAATCAAAGACCTTCTTAGGCCAAACTGAAGTTCCCTTCTGTTCTTTAGAAGGACCTCCTGTGATCTTTCTGGTGAGAGAACCTGCAGGATTCTCACCTTATCCTGCTGGGTTTCTTTTTAGGGTATCAACAATGTTCTAACCTCAGATCAGGGTGATTGTCATATAATGGTGAATATCCAAAAACTGAATCATACACTTGCACGAGTGGTTTGACATATGCATTAATTTAATCAGTCTGACTTGTGTGGATCATAGTATTTAACCTTTTATAAAAAGGAAATTTTGAGACATAACATGGAAGAACTTTTGTGGTTCTGATGAAATAAGTAAAATGAATCAATCATAGAGAGATAAACACTTTTTGATCCCACTTATAGGAAGGACCCAGAATAGTCAAATTCGTAGAAATGGAAACTAGAATTGTGGTTTTCAGAGTCTCAGAACAGGGTGTGGAAACTCACTGTTTACTGGGTAAGGAGTTTCAGTTTTGCAAGAGAAAAACAATTCTGTGAGCGGATGAGTTTCAACATAATTATGCAAAGTGAGACTAAGCAAAATGTGTAAATATTGTGTTATCCTACCTACATAAAATTCTAGAAAATGCATGTTGATCTATCATGACAGAAAGCAAATAAATATTTTTCTAGGAGCCACATTGGGAACAAGGAAACATTTGGCGGCAAGAGATATCTTCATAATATTTATGGTGATCACCAGTTCACTGATGTCTATACAAATGTCAAAAATTCATCAGAATTGTACATTTCAAAGATAATCATCTCTTGGTATCCATGGAGATTGTATTCTAAGACATTTACCTTGGATACCAGAAATCTGGATGGTCACCTCCTTTCTACAGAATGGCACAGAATTTGTATATCCTTCCATAGGATTTCTTGGACGTGTGCTCTTTGTGACCCATAAGCTGACATTGATAATATACAAGTCATCATCCCTGGGAGTTTACTCTGTCCAGGGCACACATCCTGGAACTATGCATGCCTTGTGTCTTGGAATTCTTATAATAACTTATTAGCTGCACATTAATAATTTTCCTCCACCCCAATTATCACGAGGGGGTCAGGATCAGTGGTAGTCAGTCGACACTGGATCTCCAGTTGACGCCAGGCTTGGCTGCCTCCCAGTCTCATATAGCCTTAAAAAGCCTGCTGGGGACTGGGCCAGGCCTGGAAACAAGCAAGAACTGTCTAGCAACAACCATTTCTAGAAGCTCCTGGTCATGGTGAGTTCAAGCGATTTTGTAAGACCTTTCTTAGGTCACCCTGAATGACCTGAGAGGCCATAGTGGAAATTCCCCGGGCCAGTAGCCAACTGTCATTTAGAAACAAGGATCTCTAAGCCTAGGCTGCAGGGAGAGGTCAACTAGCCCAGCCCCTTCCACCCGTCAGAAGCCTAGGCTTTCCAAAGGCACACAGTTGTAACATCTCTGAGCTTCAGTTTACCCATCTGTAAAATGGAAATAGCATCCTCTCCTTGCTGGTGTGGTTGTGAAAGTTAAATAATACCCAGTGCCCTTTGCATAGGAAGACCCAGACACTGGGAAATATTAATAGAATTTTTTTCTCCAGTATTTAAATTCCTGTCTGCTCCCTTCTACCACCACCAACCCCCTCCACACCTGGCCTCAGATTAAATTTAGGGTAAGAAGGAAAACACACCCAGGTGAAATATACAGTGGGTAGGGCCAGCAGCAGATTAGACAATGCAGGAGAGAAGGTTAGTTATTTATTGTTTATGAATCACAATGGTGAGGGTAACAAGGATCCTGCCAATGAGAAGAGCAACCCCAGTTGACATTTATTGATCTTTAGCTGTGGACCAAGCTTCATTTACATATTCCATCAGTCCATTTTCCTTTACTATAATAAAATACCTAAGACTGGATACCTTTGAAAGAAAAGGGGCTTTGGAGGCCGGGAATCCCAGATTGGGTGGCCCCATGAATTGTTCTCTTGTGAGGTCTCCTAGGCTGGTTCCACCATGGCAATGGCGTCATGGCACATATGAGAAGGAGAAAGCATCTGGAAAGAGAGGAAACCACTGGCCGGAAGGGATCAGTCTCTTTGAGCTCTACTCTGAGGACCAGGCTCCCAAAACGTGAGCCCTTGAAAGGAGCAGTCCTCTGTTTCCTAACCATTGCCGACATCTGCTCCACTGATCCTCATAATGATCCATAAAGTCCGGCCACGCTCAGCCCCGTCTTACATGTGAGCAAGCGGCAGAGACAGAGAGCTAAGCCTTTTGCTCCAAGTTGAACACCTGGGACACTGGAAGGACCAGGCTGCTACGCCAGGCAGTCTGAGTTTGAATCCTACTCCCCCGTCCTCAGGATCTCCGTGTAACACTATAGCACAGCACCCTGTTGTGTAACAACATCTGTCCCTGAAGAGGGCTGGATGAGCAGGCTTTGTGTGTGTTATCTCCAAACCTCTCAGCAGAGAATGGAACAGGGCGTGGGGAGAGGGGTTTCATTTTGCAGAGAAAACCAAGGCTTGTAGAGGTAAAGTGATTTTCCCAGGGCCCCATAGCTGGTACAAAAGGTGCCAGAATTTGAACCTGCTCTCTGATTCCAAATTCATCCTGCTAGATGTGCCCTGGGCCTGTCAGAGGTATCCGAGATGACTGTGTACCTGGAGTTTTTAAGGTTTCTTTCCTGCATCAAGACATCCTTCTCTCTCACTATGAAGAACTTTCTAGAATCAATAAGCAGCTTATGATTCTGCCTATTTTTGCTCTCAGTCAAGGCATACAAAGCAGGGGGAGGTAACCACATGATACTTCAAGGCCCCAGACTAGAAGATGATTTTTAGCTGGGTATGGAGCTGTTTGTCTATAACCCCAGCACTTGTTAGGAGTGAGGCAGAAGGATTGCAAATGTGAGACCAACCTGGACTACGTAGACCCTGTCTCAAAACAAACAAGATGGTTTTTAGGGTAAAACACTGTTTGGGCCAGTGGAAGAGGATGACTACAGGGCATACTGAGAGATAAAGAAAGAAAATATCAAATGAGAGGACACTTCTGAAGCGATGGATGTTGTATGGTCCAATAGAAGTGTACATTTATTCTCAAGTTCATTGAATTGTGAACATTAAATGCATGCCCACACACCTCCATACAGTGTGTTTTTAAGTAAAAAAATTCCAAATTCATCTACTTTGACTCCTGGTGAATTATTTGTTTTGTGTATAGATTATCTTCTTGTACATGAGGAGGTCAGTCGGCTGAGTCAAGGAACAAAGACAAAAGGATTTTAGAAAGAGAGGGAAGAGAGAGAGAAAATCAAAGATGACAAGCCTCCAGCAATGACAGATTTTGGGGTGAGCTGATTGGCGGAAGCAGTGAGATCAGTCTGGAAATTGTGTCCTTGAAGAGCCATTGACAGACATCAAAGTGCTCCCTTCTACAGACTATGAACGAGATCACCAGAGAGTCCTCAGGCCTGGAGTCACTGTGCCATGCTTGCCAAGCGTGTCCTGCCAGCCACACGTCCACCCTTGGAGGGCTGGACCCTCACCCTTTATCTCAGGAGGATTCCCACGGAATTTGGGGCAGACTTTCCACAGGCTCAGTGTCAACACAGGTCACTTGCCTTCCAAGTACACATGTGCCTTGGCTCAGCCAGTGTGACAACCATTCTGCATGTGAATGGAGACGTCGCCTCTTCCACTGCACTAGGATGGTAAAACACAGGAAACAACCCATGTGTCTGTCAATCAGGGATTCATTAAATAAACAGTATAGCTGTATAGTGAAGGCAGCCTTTGATAATGTTACTGCAAAAGAATAGAAATAGGTTCATCTTTTATCAGTAAATAAAAGACAGTCTATGCATATGTGTATGTGTGTGTGTGGGTGTGTGTGTGTGCACATTCTCAAGTGTGCACTACAGACAGTGAATAGGTGGGTAGGTAGATGGATGGATAGGCCACAAGACCAGAAGGACATGCATCAAGATGTTAATGGGGTTTACAGAGTCACAGATGGGTTTGAATTTCTTGTTGCTTATGCTTTCCAAATCTTCTATACTGGATATGTACTTCTTCTGGCAACCAGGGAAAAAAGTCCCAGATATTTCCCAGATCTGGAAAAGAGGAAGTACAAAGAAGACTTGTGAGTCACTTCTGCTCTAGCTGCAGGGGGTGGGGGGGAGGAGGTATGATTTAAGGGGCCGCATAGGTGGAAGGGGACCTCCAGGGCTGCCTGCGCTGTTCCTGCTACCATCATGGAACTTGTCCTGCTGTGCGGGCTGCTGGTGATGGCTGGTGAGAGGGGACAGGAAGGAGGGATATGGGCAGGCCCTGTACCAGTGGTGGTGAATCCCTGGCACACCTATTGCAGCAGGCTGCTTGTTAGCATTGAAGGTTCTAAGAGATTTGCCATCACTGCTCTCCTCACTAGACCCCTAGTGTCCCCGTCCCCAATCCTTCCATGCCCTGCAAGGAGCCATCCCTGGTTACCAGACCCTGGAAAAGCAGCTCCGGCCTTGAGGGGTGCGAGTAGCCACGCTGTGTGTGTGCCAAACCCAATGCGATGGTGTTACAGAAATAGGATCCCTGGGTCCCTAGCTTTGATGGTATAATAGCAATCTTTAGAATCCTTTGAAGTTCGTTATCTTTGAAGCTGGAAAGAGGGTTTTCTCAACCTGTGGCAGGAAGGGGAGCTGAGGGACAGTTTCTGTTCAATATTTATTAGATCAAATGTAAAAATGTGCCTGCTAGCAAATTGACTTTTTCTTGATCCATCTCAAATTATGTGATTTTAGAAAGGTCTTTTTTTAAACTCTGAGACAGAGTCTTGCTATGCAGTTCAAGTTGGCCCGGCTCACTTTATAGCCCAGGCTGGTCTTGAACTTGCAACGATCCTCTTGCCTCAGCTTCTTGAGTGCTGTGTTTACAGAAGTGCAGGTGCATCCCCTACAGGTTTTGTGTTTTTGACAAGCAATTTTATGGTGTTGCAGGAACTCCCAAATGGTTCAAACTCTTCTGATGTTAAAGTGAAAGCCATTAAGAAATTTGCTCTCAGACATAAAGATCCACTAGAGTAGCTCAGCATGGTAGTACATGCCTATAATCTAGCACTTGGGAGGCTGAGGCAGAAGGCTCTCAAATTCGTGTACTGCCTAAGAAACTCAGGAGACCGTCTAAGAACGGTCCATGGCTATAGCTCAGGTGTAGAACCTCTCCTGTCCTCATCTGTGAAGCAGGCACCGTGGCATCCTCTCCACAGGGCTGTTAGAGGGACTTAATGAGCGAAGAGATACTAAGTGTTGAGCAAGTGTAAGTGGGAGTAAGTAATTATTAGCATAACACCTGCCACGTGCACAGAGATAGCAGTGATACCACCTGCCGCCACTCGGCCTGGCTACCAACACAGGAGTTGCTGACAGGGCAAGCCAGGCCCCCCAAATCCCCATATACGTAGCGTGAGTTCCATTTCTCAGGCTGAGATGTCCTCACCCGAAAATTATGAGAAATGAGCGCTTCCCCTACCCCCACCAAGCATTCAGAATCAAAGCTAAACACATTGCTTGCCTGGCGGGAGAGAGCTGAGCCACTGCAGTCAGGGAAGAGGTCCACGTACCCTTGAGTCCAAATTAGCAGGGCGAGTGTCGGGGGAAGAAAAGAAAAGCAGGCAGAGCAACGAGAAAAGCAAGATTCTGAATTCGGATCTCTGGTTGGTCTACAAAGTGGGTTCTAACTCGCTTTGCCTTGGGGTGCTTAATCGTGCAATCCAGGAATCCAGGAATTCCAGCCAGGAGTCATGGGGGGCATTCATTTGTGCAGTTAGAGTTTAGCAAGATTTGTCTTTAATGTCCCATTCAGCTAGAGCCCAGGGGCCAAACAGGGGTGGCAGTGTGGACGCCCACACACTGAGGACACAACGGGACACTCCCGTCAGTTGCAGCCCCAGCCCACTTGCTTGATCTCACCCTTTGTCCACAGCGTGGGACAGCTCCATGTGGGCCGCTGCACTGTGACCTGCTTTACCACAAGGGTCAAAACGAGGGCCAGCCGAATGAAACGGCCTGCCCGGCTCCCTGTGCCTGAGCTGCGTCTGCGCATGCGCTCCCTGTGTTCTCCGAGGATGTCTCGGAGTGACACGCTTTGGCCTCTTGTCTGTCCTCACCCCCCCCCCAATTCATTGACTGTGTATTTTATTTCTCCTGACTCAACCTACTGTATTCCTCTACCTCAATAACATAGATTCCCCTTATGATTGATTCTAGCCAGCAGCTATTATGCCTGAAATGAAAATCATTGATTTCTAGGTCACACCACACGTGCTCTTAAAGCTCAGATTTCTCTAGGGGCAGCTGGGAGGGGTCCAGGAAGAAGAGTGACTTCCTATTGCTTGTGGGAAATCAATGCTCAGACACAGAATGGAACCTGAGTGCCTGGGGTTCAATGTAGCTCCACTATTCACCATGAGCTTGCCTCAGCTACTGAGCCTGACTCTGCTCATCAGTAAAATAGGAATTAAAAGCTGGGCATGATGGTGCATGCCTGTGATCTCAGCCACTACGGAGGCCGAGGCAGGAAGATCTCATGGTCAGGGCCAACCTGGGTAACTTAGGGCGGTTATCTCTCAAAATAGATAAATACAAAAAAAAAAAAAAAAAAAAAAAGGCTGGGGAGGGATGTTGGTCAGTGGTAAAGCCCCGCTGAGTCCTATTCCTTGAACCAAAAAGTTAAGTGACTCCTCCACCCCTAAAAGGTATATATCATACCAGTATTAATTTTACCCAATGCATAATTATATAAGATGACAACATTAGAAGAAGCCAATGAGGGGAATATAGAAGCCCGTGTACCATATTTGCTACTTTATATTGCAACTATTCCTAAATAAAACATTTATTTATGTAAAAACTAAGTTTATCTCCTGGGGTGGAGCTAATAATTTAACACACAAGAAAATGTAGAGTGAACACATAGTAGGTCATTGTGTATATATTTTATATTTATTGCTTTGGTTTTGGGGGTTGGAACCCAAGGCCTGCGCTCTACAGCTGAGCTGCACCTCCAGCCACGCTATGTAACAGCAATAGAGACATCATTAGTTTGCCACCATTGTCATTCAAAGTCACTCATGTGGTGAGGGCACAGCAGAGGTGCCTGCCCTGTGGCCCCTGGCATTCCTGTGACACGGGTGCCCTGCCCTCATTGCTGCCTGCCAGGTGTGACTCCAACCCAAGGAAGTATCTTGAACGTAAACAAGATGATCAAGCAAGTGACTGGCAAGATTCCTTTCAACTACTGGGCCTATGGCTGTCACTGCGGATTTGGTGGCAGAGGGGAGCCCAAAGATGCCACGGATCGGTAAGCTTCTCCTCCCCAGGCTTGCAGGTGGCAATCTGACCCTGGTACTTTCTCTTCTCTTCTTCAGCACTGATCCATTTCATGAATTCTGTTCATTCAGCATGTACTATGTGCTCGGAAGTGCTAAGTCTTGACCCCTCTGGAGCTGGCCTTCTAGGAGTTTCTGCAGAGTCTCTGAAGCCTGACCTCTTGCATGCCCACACTCTACTCTAGCTACAGTGTCCTCACTCCACACTGACAAGGTGCATTGCTTTCAAAAGCCTTGCATCTTTTATCCGTATCTCTATTTGAGCTATGTGAAAGGCGGGATGGGGCCAGCCAGGCCTGGGACCATTCCCCTGATCTATTACTTAGAAGCTGTGTGACTTTGGGCAAGATGATCTGCCTGCATCTGTGCACCTGTACCTGTGTCATGGGGTGGTCCTGAGGATTAGGAGAATTTCGGAAGGTGAAGCAGATGCATTTGATGAATGTCAGCTATGATGATGCCAGGGAAGCCAAGAGCCCTGAAGGCCTTGGCTCTTCTGAGGTGGACACACAGGAGCAGCAGCCAGAAACCCAGGTCAGCTAATGACCCTTACAGCCGCCTCACCCACTGTCCTTTCCTGCCAGGTGCTGCCTGGAACACGATTGCTGTTATTCCCTCCTGAAGACTCAGCGATGCAAGCCCCAGACAAATCACTACAAATACAACTTTTCCCTGGGAGACATCCAGTGCTGTGAGTATCTGGATTCAGGGCTGGACCTGGAGGTTCAGGAAGGGAGTTCCGGACCTCACTACCTTTATGGGCTGAGTGACATTGCATAAGTGACTCAACCTCTCTGTACTTGGCCTGTGTCCAGTGGCAGCAGCAGGGGTGTGGAAGAGGAGCAGGAGTGGGCATGGGGGGATGGCGAGGTCCAAGGGGGAAGTTTGATCCATTTGGCATCTGGAGGTGAGGCCCAGCACTGAGCAGCTCATGTGACCATGAGCCCATTCCTTAAGCTCTCTGTACCTCGGTATCCTCATCCCTAGTTCCCACAAGAACTCAAATGAGGCCAGCTGGTCAGACAGGCACCCTGAATTAGTTACTCTTTTTCCACGACTGATCTTTGTGACAGCCAAGTGAGGAGACAGTGAGACCTTGATCCTCTCCATTTTTACAGACAAAACCCACCCTGGAGTGGGGAAATGCTTTCCCAGGTCATTCAGGTGCAAACAACAGGCCTGATACCCAGGTCATCTGGTCCCTGGTGCGCAGCATCCCCAGCATGGAGAAAGATAGCAAAGGGTTTGTCACACCAGATACTGTTCATTGAAGACCTAGGAGCACCATTGAGCACTTATTGAGCACTTCCTATATGCTAAGTGCTTTGCCTTCTGACTTGAATTCTTACCCAGGTCTTCTGAGCAGCTGCTATCATGAGTCATGCTTTACTAAAAAGGAAGCTGAAGCAGGCAGGCCTCCTGTGGCTTTTGCACACACTGCTCCTGGCCTGGAATGCTCCTCTGTCCTCAGCTTTCTCTGGAAGGTGCAGTCCCTCCAGATCTCAGTTCTGCTGGCTCCTTGTCACCTGTTTAGGATCCGGTAGCCATGCATCCTGCTTCCATCTGGTGCTCTTTGTGTCTTCCTTCTCCCATTCCATCACCCTTATCCCTACACCTGTGTGTTTTATTCTGTCCTCTCCCCCGGCACCAGCCGTGCAGCAAGGAAATGAGCCGTGGTGTGCAGGAAGTCACTCTCGTACTGTGCAGGTAGCATCAAAGTTACTGGGCAGGGGCCACAACATCTGCTCTGCCCCAGGAGGGAACAGGCACTGAGCTGCCCCTCCTCCACCTGCAGCTGACAAGGGCAGCTGGTGCGAGAAGCAGCTGTGTGCCTGTGACAAGGCGATGGCCTTCTGCCTGAAGAGCAGCCTGAACACCTACCAGAAGAAGCTGCGATTCTACCTGAGGCCCAAATGCAAGGGCACGACTCCTCCATGCACAGGAGCTGCCAACTTGACTTTGACTTTGCCTGGCCTCCCTCCCTGAAGAGAAGCTGCGCTGGGCTGCACACAAGTATGTAGTGTAGGTAATGAAACTTTTCATTTTTATTGATGGATTGATTGACTGAGTTTTGAAATAGAGTGTCACTGTGTAGCCCAGGCTGGCCTGGTATTTGCAGGGATCCTCCTGCCTCAGCCTTCAGACTGCTGAGATTATGGGTGTGAAGCATCATGCTGGATAAAATTTCCTTTTTAAAAACACTTTTTATTAGAACTCAAGTGTCTAACTCATGGGCCCCAGGTTAGAAATCTCCTCCGTCTATTCCCAAGACCTCTAGCCCCTTCCAGGACATCTTGAGCTCTGAAGCCCTATAGATTGCAGCATCCCTGCTGACCAGTCCAGCTTTCAGTGCCAACGCCACCCCAGGAGTCTGGCCTTGCCCACACCCTGCAGTTCTGCATCCCCAGCCCCATCCCAGCCAGGGCAGCAGTTGGGTCTTGGGAGCAAACAAGGCCAGGACCCCCAGGGGTGATACTGGGGCCAAAGTGTGTCGTCTGTGAATGTAGTGGGGTACTGGGGGGAGGTGCAGCAGGTCCTCTGTGTCCCTCCCTCCTTTCCTCCCCACCCCCAATACTTTCCCACCTGCACCCCTGAGTGATTGGCATGAAGGCTGACCTTGGGTTTTATGTCCATGTGTCTCTCTCTTGAAACTCCAAGGTCCCCCACTGCTGCAGGATAAAACCCCACAAAGCATTTGGAGCTCTCCATCTGGCGCTGTGTCCCTGTCCCAGATGAGGCTCTCAGTTCCCTGCCGATGAGGCTCAGGCCTGTCTTAGATTCAGTTGTACCCTGGTTCCAGGGCAGCCACAGAACCAAGCAGGGGCTTGGTGGACCACCCTGAGCAAAGGACCAGGGACCCTACCACTCTTGTTGCTCCTGGCCCCAGGGCCTGGTGTGTTTTTTCACATCTCCCTGGTGCCCAGTGTGTCCTCCTACAGTGACGTCTCCCTGACTGGTCCCTGCTTCCCAGCTCAGAGGGCTCATTCCCTCCTCTGAGGTCACCAGCACTTTTCAGGGCTACCTTTACCCAGCTTAGCCATGAAGTGGCAAATGTGATTTCTCCCTCTCCCCCAACTAGACTGCAGCTCCTGGAGGATGGAAGCCATGTCTGTCTCATGCCACATACTATGTGCTTAATTAACGCTGTCAATCAAATGAGCCCATAATGGGTATGGGTGGCTGGAACAGATGTTGATACCCACCCAGATCAGGGAGGCCAGGCATTGGCTGCTGCTGAGTACTCCAGCCTGCCTTCCTCTTACAGGTTTCCCTGTCTTCTAGGAGCTCCCTTGCCCTCATCCCCACCCCCACCTGCCAGATGCCACCTGTGACAGGAGACCAGGAGAGACAGCATGATGGAGGATATAAGTGCCCAGCTCCCTTGCCTGGATGCAGGACTCTCTGGGTGGTACAGCATCCCAGAGTCATTCCTGGACCAAGATATTAGGGTGCCTCTGAGACTTCTGGAACCACCTCTTTGCTCATCCCATCCCCTGGCCTGGCCTGTTCTCCTGGTTCCTATACAGGTTTCCCCAGAGAGCACTCTTCAATAAAGCACTTGCACAAGAATCCTTGTCTCGGGCTCTGCTTCCAGAAGATGCATTTCACATAAATAGCCTTTTCCCATGTAAGGATCCGGATCTGTCACTCACAGATGATTAGCTGTGCTTCCAGCCACAGGGCGGAGGCACCTGGGGCCACCCACACTCTCCAGGCTATGACAAACCTCCGTGCAGTGACTGGTGGAGGAGTCTTCTCCAGGCTCCAGTGGGAAGAGTGAAGAACCATGGGTTCTGGGTTCAGAGTCCCACTCAATGTCCCACGCTGGTGGGGGCCACTTATGGTGAGGGCGGGTGCATGGGCAGCGGTAGGGTAGGGGTAGGAGAAATCTCTGTGTCTTCTACCCAACTGCACTGTCAACCTAAGACAGCTGTTTGAAAACCAAAAAGGTCTATTAAGAAAAAAACGTTCCCAGTTACACCTCGCCTAGCCATATGCACCTTACCTAAGGAATCTCAGTCTCCTCATGGACAAAACCCAGACAAAAATAAGAAGAAAACACGTGGAAATCAGAGCAAATAAGGATCCAGTAAGGTGAGTGTGAGTGAACCCTGAGGACAGTGTCTGGCAGATGGTGGCTCTCTTTACACTGGTGGCCCTTGATGGATGGTGACCGGATTTTAAGTCACTCTCAAAGCTGAGAATGAGTTTGGCAGTGTTCAGTGATTTTCCTTCTCCCCATCCTCTCTGTGCTGGATTCCCAGGCACAGTGTGCACCTATCAGGAGCTTGGAGCCCAATTTGTCTGTCAGAATTCCCTGAAGCTCTGAGTAATACCTTTCTTCATCTCAGTGTTGGCTGGCATGGGCATTATTGTTCCCATTTTAGAATCTGAGGCTCAGAGAGGGAGGACAGGACCTTCCGAGGCCCCCAAACCTGCAAAAGACCCAGCCAGAAGTATGGGTCTTCTACAGTGTCCTGCTACAGTGACGTCTCCCTGACTCGTCCCTTCTTCCCAGCTCAGAGGGCTCATTTCCTCCTCTGAGGTCACCAGCGCTTTCCAGGGCTACGTTTACCGAGCTTTGCCATGAGTGGCAAATGTGATTTCTCCCTCTCCCCCCACTAGACTGCAGCTCCTGGAGGCTGGAGGTCAGTCTCTTTCCCTTCTGCTTCTGTGGCATATCCTGTTTGTACTGGTCTAGGAGCTTCTAGTTAAGGGCTGGGGCTGTAGCTCAGGGGTGGAACGCTTGCCTAGCATGTGTGAAGTCCTGAATTGGACACTCTTGGATGGAACCTCTTCCATCACTGTCCTGGCTTTTCCTATAAGAGTGAGGTGGGATCATGGCTCCAAGATGGCAGCCATGGCTCCAGCCCTCAAGCCAAGTTGAGAGTCTAATGAAGATGCTGTATACTCCTGTGTCTAGGTACCATTGAAAGACAGAGAACCCTTTGGGACTAGCCACTCTAAAGCAGCCATGAGCCAAGACAATGTGAGTAGCCTGGTTGGCTTAGACTCCTTGAGACTTGTTTACTTCTTAGAGGGGACACAGTCAGGGGAGAGTGGGTAGCTGTCAGCATGTTGACAGTTGTTAATAGAGCTGCAAGCATGGGCTGAGGACAGAGATTTGCTCACAGAGAATGAAAGAAGGGGTCAGGCCCAGGGCGACACTTCCCTGCATCACCATCTTGTCACCTGGTGCAGACCTGGTGCTGTGTGAATGATCAGTGGGTGTCGTGTGAATGAATGGGTCTCAGACAGGTGAAGATGTGGGCCAGCAGGCAAGGTGGGCAGGCGAGGCCTCAGGCAGCCAGGCCTTGGTTGCGGCCGGGGAGATGCTCTCACCCTGAGTTCTTATTCTGAACCAACTTTGTATGATTCAAACTGAGGGAGATGCAGAGAGGAAGGCAAGCCTCCGGGGACATCTGCTCGCCACCCACAGCTTCCACCGACACCTGGATGAGGGAGGCTGGCTGTGGGGCACGGCACTAGCTTCCTGTTCCTGCTGGGGTTAGGCTCTGCAGTAGGAAAGGACCACGGCAGACATTGGACACCTGGCAGCAGCCACCCATGGGGCCCCTATGCCACACTCCCTTCCACTACCTGGAGATGCTGTTATCGTTTCCTGCATCACAGATACAGAAACTGAAACTTCAGGAGTGAATACTTGCTGATAAGTGGCAAGGCTGGAATTCGAACTCAGGACTCTCTGGCTCCAGGGCCATATTCCACCCTAAACTCCTACACTGTTGACTGTTCCTGACTCAGCCCTTTGTCCCTGTAGAAAATTACCTCCACCCAGGGTCCATGAGGTGGAGGTAGAGTGTAGCAAAGAAGGAAGCCAGAAAAAAAATAAACAGAACAGTCACAGAGATAAGAAGCTCCCATTCAGAGCTCCTGATCCTCCCTCAGCCCCAGCCCACTCATCCTCAAGACTCCTGGAGCCAGGGTTCTCCGGCCGGGGCCCCACTAGGCAGAATATTGGGCCATGGCATCTCCAAACCCCTGGATGCTTTTCTAGCTGGATTTTGCAACTGAGAGGCTCTGCTTTCACCACCCACCCTGTCTCAGTGCCGCCTTTGAGGACTCTGCACTTGGAGTCCCAGACATCCTTGCTTGTTCCTGAGGTCAGCTTAGAGCTGTCCTGACCCCAGGAAATCCTGACAGCTCGGAGCTGGGAATTGGCTGCTCCACTGTCCAGCTGGGGGCCATGTGTGCTTTCTCTAGAGTCTCTGATTTTTGAAAATTTAAAGCTAAAGAAGAGATTCTCAGACAGTTTGAGGAAGCTCCCTGCAGATCACAGAAGACAGGCTGAGGGCTCCCCTCTACTGGCTTCCAGCTTTAGGTCCTGAAGGAGCTCTGCTGTCTTGGGGCCTCTGCTTGGAGATGCTCCCCAGCTCTAGGCAACACTGGCTTCTCCCATCCAGAGAGCCCCATTTTCCCTCTGAGAAAACACCCCCCACTGTCCCTGAAGCAAGTGCCTCCCGACCCTTGGTTACTCCCCTCTCCTCCCACTTCCTTTCTTCCGCTTTATACTTTCTGCTGGTTCTTAATCCCTCCCCCATTGGCTTTCCTTTCTCTCACCTCATGCTCACCTCCAATGTGAGTGCCTGCAAGGAAAGGGCACCGCAATATTCCCAGCATCAAGATCAGCGCCAGGGCGGAGGACGTTGAATGAATGAATGATCGGGAACTGATTAACCCGCACTGTTCCTCTCAGCTGGGCTCCTTTCTACCTGTGCGGCTATGGGTTAGCAGTCCTCTGATTCTCAGTGATTAGTAAGGCAAGGGTGCTAATGCGTGTCTATCATTTTTTTGATAGGGACTTGTTATGTGGCTTAAGCTGGCCTTGAACTTTCCATCTTCCTGTGTCAGCCCCTCAGCTGCTGGGTTTATGCCACATCCAGTGCATGAAAGCATTTTTATTTTTTTAAACCTAACTCTCACCTTTTCCTCAAGGGTACTTCCCACTGTTGAGAATTTGGGACAAGGTAGAAGGGCAGATGGGCAGCTTGGAAGGGGACAGTTTCACCACCTCCCAGCTCCTCCCCTGCGGGGGTGAGAAATCGTACACTCCCTGCCAAGAATACTTTCCCTACTCCTGGAGCTGCCCCTGAAGTGGGGGCAAAGTACAGCCTCCACATGAGCTTCTGAGACCCTGCCAGGAGCCAGGCTGCGGCAGTAGGAAGCTGGGGCTGTCCCTTTCCCCTCAAGGACCGCCCAGGATGCACTGTAGATGTCCTGGTGCCAGGCTGCACTCCCCAAAACACCTGACCCTTGGCTTCATGGGACAAGCATCAGTGTCGCCCCAGGGAGATTAGATGCAGGTTCCTGAGTCCTACTCCTTGTGCATGAATCTAAATCCAGACTTTGCAAAAATAAAAAAGACAGAAACAGATGCAGAGGACCCCTCCAAATAGGGGTTCCAAAGAAGATGGGAATGGGGGAGATGTGGGAGCCACCATGAGAAACACTTCAGAGGTGGTAGTTCTTTTGCAGGGAAACCTTTTTGGGAGTGGAAAACACACGCAGATGCTCGCTGCTAAGAAAACATATAGTGCATATTTAGTAAAAATGCCCATTTAAAGGGCTGGGGGCTCAGTGCTGTGCTGTGGGCCTGCTGTGTACCAAGTCCTGGGTTCAGTCATCAATACTGGTGGGGGGGGGGATTCTTCCAATGTTGCTTTTACCAAAATATTTTATTTTCACAATCCAAAGAGCTATTCTGTAGACCTGAGGTGGGGTGGGGGACAGAAATCTGCATTTTTAACAAGATTGGCTGGATATTCTGTGGCATTTGGTGGGGGTGGGGATCACACTCTGAAAAGGGCTTCATCCCCCTCTCCTCTCTGTCGCAGACCTCCAGCTGTCCCCACTATCCTACTCCTGGGATCTGGACACCCACCCCATCGCTAACGTAGAAAGGACACGTCTGTTAATACTGAGGTTTGTCCCTCTCACCTAGGCACAGCCGCTGCATTGACTGGGGACCAGGCTCTAGATCAAATTGCACCCCAGCCTGTTCTCTTTGCCTCCACTGCCTCCTCTGTCAACAGGATGATATTTTCAAATCCCAGCCTGTCCCAGGGCACCTCCTTGTGGTTTGGGTGAATATTTAGTTTCTTGATTTCCCCCACTTTTTTTTTTTTAAGTGAGAATCGAACCTAAGACCTTGAGCCTGCCAGGCAGGTGCCTATAGCACTGAACTACACCCCAGCCCAATCCCCTTACTTTTCTTAGACTACATAACATACCTAAGAAGGTAATTTATATCCTCTGATACCGAGAAAATCAGACTCACGTGTCATCAAAAGGTGACCACGAAGTATAATTATAATCAGTGGCTGGGGCCGTAGCTCAGTGGTAGTGTCCTTACCTAGCAGGTGTGAAGCCCTGATTTCAATCTCGGCACCCTCCTAGGACAGCAGCAGACTGGCAGGGTCTGAACCGGGTCTCCCCTGGGATGTGTGTTGAGCAGGGACAGCCAGCATGGCTCAGTGCGCATCATGCTGCTCCCCAGAAATGGATCTCAAGACAAGCCCATTAGGAGAAGAAGGAAAAGGAAATAGGAT